CTTCCTGCTGAAAAGGGACGCTGTAGGTTTCAGGGTGAAGATCTTCTCTCACTACTCTAAAGGGCCCCTTTGGCAATAGGACACATATAGACTATTATGGAGATTGATTTTTGAATTTAGATGCACTGTTATCAGTTGTGCTTAGCTGTACATGTTCATATCCTTGAAGATGTTATCATGGAAGTGTTGCAGCCTAGAAGACACAAATTTAACTAACAAGTTAAAAGTACATGAGTCAAAAATTAAAAAGAAATAATATCCCAAGTAGAGGCTCTAATAGTGGCACAAATCAAGTTACAGATGGAAGGTAGTTCTTACAATAAAAGGCCGACTGACTAACACTTTGTCTATTATAGTATAAAGGTTAGGAACCACAAGGTGTGGAGGCTCAACTATGTCATTTATTGTTCTTAAGTCCTGGAGCAAATTCCATCTACCACTGGGTTGTTTTACAACTCGGAAGTCTGCATGCAAGGCAGAGGTGAAGAAAGGAACTGTTTATGAAGTTTTACGTCAATTCCAACAACTAAGAAATAATGAGAAGAGTTGGGACCTCAGAAGGCTTTTAGGACCAAATAGTAGGCTCTTGTGTCCAGGAGAAAATGAATATACTTACCAGTAATGTTAATGCTCACCACCGCTCTTCTGGGAGGATCTAAATCGTTGAAGCGTCCTCCTTTGTTTCCAGCTGGGAGCTGGGACCTGTTAGTCCTGTCAACCACGAGTACCTGATGTGGGCTACCCTTGGCCAAGTGTCCTTCAGATCCACACATAAAGCAAGTGAGTGGGAGCTTCCTCTCTACTCCCTTGCCTATCTGTGGCTCTTGTCTGTGACACTGTCTACTGAAGTGGCCCAGCTTTCCACAGTGGAAGCAATTCTGACCTCCTTTATTACCTTTGGGTGGCACTGTATATGAGTAAGACTTCCTTTTCCTGACACAGGCCCTAAACTGGCAGCAATAGCTGCCCCAATAATTTTGGCCATTCTCTGGTCTTTTCTCTTCCCTCTAGATCCCAGTTGTTAAAAGAGGGAAAAATTTAAACAAATGTATAACAAATAATTTTGAACATTATAATCTTTTAAGCTTAAGGCTAGAAATATTAACAATATGATCATTTCCAATCCAGAGATACATGTTCCAATGCAGTTCCTATTTTCCAAAAATGGTTTTGGTAAGAAGAATATTGTAAATGTGGATACAGTTCCACTGTTCCTCCTCCATGCCACGATATAGTGTTATTAGCATGAGCAGTTATAAATCCATTGCCATCCTTACTCTAACTTAAGTTTTTTTAAATTTAAATTTGTTATTAATTTCAGTAAAAATTTACAGAGGCTTTGGATTTCCATTCATTCATTGTTGCACATTTGTCCCCTCCCAAGTCTCCCCCCCCACCCAGAACACTACCTTCTTGGAAAAGTAAAGAAAAAATTCTTTCATTGTTTTACAAACCCTCCCCCAGGTCCACTCCACCATGTAGCCATCAGAGCCCAAGAAATTATGTGAAGAAAGAGGTGGGGCTGAAAGGAGAAAGATGAATCAGGAGGAGGGGTGGAAGGGGTGGGACTTTGTAGACTTCAGGGAAATGTGGAATGGATAGGCTGGAGTAATACCAGGGGTGAAAAGGTGAGGGGGGCGCTAGAGGTACCAGATGAGGAAGACATGGGGTAACAGGTGAAGGACACATGGGGTACCAGGCGAGAGGGACACAGGGAGTATCAGGTGAGGGAGGCACTGGAGTACCAGGTAAGGGAGACACTGGAATACCAGGCTAGAGGGACACAGGGGGTACCAGGTGAGGAGGGACACCAGGGATATCAGGTAAGGGTGCCCGATTCCCCAGAGGGACTCCAAGCCTGGGAGTCTAGGAGAGAGTGAAGGCACTTTAAGCTAGGGGCCTGTCACTCCCATCTAAACTCTTGCTGGATACCTTTAGAGGTAGTATGGACACCCTTGACCACTGCTCAGATATTGCCTGGGCAACTGGACATTCTGGACACAGCTTGTTCTGGAGGTTGTCAGCCAGCTTCATCCCTGAACCCTCACCTTCAATGTCCCAGATGTGCTGAGGGACGATACCAAGCATGAGATACAGGAGGTGTGGGCTGGACCCCTGAAGGCAGACAGCTGTCCGAGGCCTGTTTCTCCAGTTTCAGCTGGGCTGTTGGGGACCAGCTTCTGTCTGTGGCTTTTAGGCTGGCTTTGCTTACTCATGGACCTGCTCCCCTGCCTCTCTTAGATGGAGAGGTATTATACACACACACACACACACCCCCACATGTATGTAAATTTTTTTTTTGTGTGAGAACAATTTGTATTTAGAATTAACTAGGTGGACTCAGTTTAGATGATCCAAATTTTGTTGGCAACATCCAACACTTAATAGTCAGGAGCAAGAAGAACATAGGCCTTCTTCTCTCCATCAGACCTAATCAAAGCATTGACCTTAGCCATATCAATGTCATAGAGCTTCTTTACAGCTTGTTTAATTTGGTGCTTGTTGGCCTTGACATCCACAATGAGCACAAGTGTGTTGTTATCTTCTATCTTCTTCATGCCTGACTCAGTAGTCAGGGAAAATTTGATGATGGCATAGTGGTCAAGCTTGTTTCTCCTGGGGGTGCTCTTCCAGGGGGGTATTTGGGCTGCCTTCGGAGTCTCAGTGTCTTAGGCCGCCGGAAGGTGGGTGATGTGCAGATCTTGGGTTTTTTTGTGGCTGTGGACGCCCTTCAGGACGCCTTCTTGGCTGTTAATGCCTTTGCTTTGGCTTCAGTTTTCGTAGGGGCAGGGGCTTCCTTCTTCGTTTTCAGTGCCATCTTTGTAAAAAAGCAAGAGGCATCATATTTATCTAGTGTTACTATAGCAGAAATGCCACAAGTGGAAAATTTTAACACATTTATTTTCTCATAGTTTTGAAGATCCTAACTCCTGGTGCTGGGGGAAGACTTTCTTTTTGTCAGACCTGGAGACTTGTCTTGTTGAGCTTCTGTTCCTGAACCATATTCATCTTCACGCAGCTCGGCATCTCATGTGGCATCTCTTTTCCCTGTCTTGGCTCTTTTTCTCAGCATCCGATCCTTGGCAATCTTTAGCTGAGTGGCTGTCCTTCAGCTCTGAAAGAACCCATTCTTCTGCCCCTTGGACATGAATCCTTCCTTCCTCCCTTTTGACTCCATAATCTTGGCACATTTTAAACAGCCCCACACTCTGGAACTGTGTCAGTGAAGATCCCACTCTGAAACCTAGGAGCCCCGTCCCTCCTTTGATATCTAGGAGACTGTGGCCCCGCTGGAAACCGAGGAAGCCCTCTTGTCTGTATACCTTCTGACAATTCTGATTATTTCTGAGCTGCTCCAGGGAGGGCCTTTTTCTTTTCTTGGACGCTTGTTTCCTGCCTTAGAATTCCAAGAGGCAGACCTCTCCCTTCCTGTCATCTTTTTGTGTGTCCTCTTTGGTCTAAGCTGATTGTCTTTCTGCTGTGGTGTTTGGTTAAATCAATCAGTCAGTCACAGGCTCAACCTTGTTAATAAAAGATTAGGGAACCAAGTTCTTGGTCAAAAACTCTGCAACACATATCCTTAGTTTATACAAAAGAATTTTTAAGGTTTTTGAGCTTTATTCTTATTGTATCTTGTTCTTTCATCTCACCTTTTTTTGTAAGCAGGGAAAAATCTCCTATGCTGCATATCCAAGTCCACTCACAGCTTCTAACTTCCATCAAACCTGCAAACATAATTCAGACAAGTTCGTGGCTGTTACATAAAAAAAAATCTCCTTGCTTCTTTTCTTTTAAAGCTTCCTGAGAAGCACATTTAATGCCTACCTTTCTAGCAACATACTGTGTGTGCTCTGAAAACACACACTTTACTACTCTCCTCGCTTCCTTCTGACCCTCATGAGCACTGCCTTTCGCAGCCATGATTCCACCAAGTCTCTCCAAGGCTGTCTAGGCTCTTTTGCTGTTAAGTGGGTTATGTGGGTTATGACTCATTGTGATCCTTGTACAACAGAATGGAGCCCTCCCAGTGCTGCAGCGTCCTCCCAGTCTCTGTCTGAGCCCTACTGTTGCAGCCATTCTATCAGTCCATCTCGTTGAGGGTCTTCTTTTCCACTGACCTCTTCTTACCAAACTTATCTTCCCCAGGGACTGATTACTCGCATATCCAAAGTATATGAGACTAAATCTTTTACTATTATGCTGCTTAAAACTATTCCAGCCTCTTCTCATTACCCACTTTGGGAAGCTTCCCTTATCACCAGTGCTTGTTGGAGCAATGTTCACTCCTCTGGCCCCTGGTGCTGGAGTGCTGCCATGATGGTCATGTACAAAGGGAGGGAAGGCTTGAACAAACACAGGGCTTCACAGTTAAGGAGCTCCCAGTTCTGAAGTCAGCATGCTGCCCTAGGTGAAGGCTTTTTCTCTTGGTTGGCACCAGGAGAAGGTACCTGATGGTTCCCCTTCTGCCGCATGGTGATCTTCACAAGACTTAGCATCTTATTTCTTACCATCTCTGCATCAGTTAGGGAGTTCTAGATGGCCTAGTGGCAAGAAGCTGTGCTACAATCCTGAAGGCACACAGTTCAACTCCACCAGCTAAACCTCGGGAGAAGGATGGGCCGTCCCCTCCGGTGCGAGTAACTGCCTCTGAGAATCCTCTGGGGTGTCAGCTTTGGGTCGGTTCTGATTCTGTGGTACACAACAACAACTACCACCACCAACAACAACAGGTGGCCTAGTAAGAAACTGCTGCAATCCCAAAGACAGATGGTTTAAAGACACAAAGACACATCCCACTGGTTGTGGGATAAGAATGGGCAGTCTTCTGTGCAGTTTACTGCCTTTGAAAACTCGCTTGCAGGTCAGCTAGCTATGAGTCAGTTCTGTCTTGAAGGTACACAACAACTGCATCATTTGACAGTTTAGTTTTTTTTTAATCTCAAGAGAGATTGGCTCAAAATGTTTTCTTTGCTAATCCTACGTTATTAAAATGACAAAGGTTATAACCACAGGCATATAAATATGTAATCTTTGGTGTCCCAATTCTGTCCCTAATGGGAGTTCATGAGGGACCCTGCAGACGCCAACCAGGTCCACTCTGCTGGAGTCGATAGCTGCTTCACCTGGGGTGGAGCTGAGAGGGAGTGAAAGCCTTGATCTTCTGCTATAGGAGTGTGAGCAATACCTGCTGGACCTTTAGGTGCCTGGATCTTGCTCCAAGCCGGAGCTGAGAAGGCTAGGCCATTCTGGGCACTGTGAGTGCATGGTGCTTGTATGTGTGCAAATGGTGTGCTTGTGTGATGTGTCGAATATGGGTGCAGATGTGCATGGATGTAATATGTGCTTAGATGAGTTTGCATGCATGTGCGTACATGTGGATGTATGCATATGTGTATGAGTGAGTTTGTGACTCTTTGTTTACTGGGAGCTAGAAAGCTTGGCTGAGTGACTGTCAGGTGGAGGTACTGGGGTCCAAGGTGCATCTGTGTGATCAGGAGGGACTGAGAGAGTGCTGGGACTCAAGAAGAAAGAGCAGAGGGGCTTTTCTCAAGCTTCATGACCAACTCAGATTTGACAGAAGTCATGTGGACTCTAGAACATTCTCTTTTGACCTCTGCCCTGCACTCCTTCTCCTGTCCCTGTTGGTTCCTCTGCATCCAGAAATAGCTCCTGATCTAAACACATGGAGAAATTTGGTGAAGTTAGAGATTCCTGCTTGAAGCTTTCTGTGTGAACTGGCACACAAGAGGGGAGCACGAGCAGTGTGTGTGAGTGTATGTGTATGTGTGTGGTGTGTATGTATGAATGTCTGTGCGGTGTGTGTATAAAGTTACCTGTCTGAGAGGGTGTGCATATATGGTGTATACATGAATGTCTGTGTGGTACATGTATGCATATGTGTGGTGTGTGTATCAGTGTGTATGTGTATGAGAGTGAGTGCATTTGTGGTATGCATGCACAGTATCTGGATGAATGTGTATATGGTACGTGTGTGCATGCATGCATGTGTATGCCGGGTATTTGGGATGTGTATAGGTTGTATGTGCATCTCTGTATGGTGAGTACACCTGTGTGTGCATACGTGATGTGTAAAAGTCTTGCATGCAGGTGTCTATGTGTGAATGTATTGTCTGCACACCCGTGTGTATGTCATTTGTGGTATGCATTTGCCTGTAATGTTTATCAGTGCACGTGTGTGGTATGTGTATGCTGTGTGCATGTTTGTGGGCTGTATATGCACATGGATTTATGTGTGATGTAATGTGGAATGTGTGTGTTTTGTGTAGTGAGTGCATGTTGTGAATATGAGGTACATGTGTGCACGTGGGGGTTGTGTGTTCATATGTTTGTGAGATTTGGTATGTGTGATATGTGTTGTGATGAGTGCACATGTGAGGTGTTTGTGCACATTTATGTATGCGTATAGTGTGTGTATAGTGTACATCCTGTGACACTGATGTGTCAAATGCGTTAATGGCTGGTTACCCGATGCGGGCAGAGAGTGGGGTGGAGCTCCCCGATTAAAACAAGCTTGGAAGGAGGAGTGGCATCCACTTCCGTAATAGCTTGCCTCCAGAAACCCTATGAACATGGAGAGAGGATGAGAGACACCCAAGCGTAGAGGACTCTCCTTCATAGGGTCGCTAGGAGTCGCCTGTGACTCGATGGCACTTAACAACATCAACCACAATAATAGTGTGCATTAGTGGTGTATACAAATGTTTATGCATATGTGGTGTATGTGCATTTGTGGATGAGGTGTGCATGAGTGGTGCTATGTGTGCATGCATGTGTGCATGTGTGGTGTGGTGTGAGGGCACGCTCGGCATGATGTGCATGTGCTGGGGCTATTTGTGCATCTGTGTGGTGTGGTGCATGCATGTGTGTGCATGGTGTGTAGGCATGTGGTATGTGTCGTATATTATGTATGCATGTGCATGATGTGTGCACACGTGTGGGGTATGCTTGTGTGTGGTGTGGTATACATATTGTGTATGTGTTGCATGAACATGTGTGTCTGGTGTGACTGTGTGGTGAGCGCTCGTGTGTGTGTGTGTGTGTGTGTAATGTATGCGAACGGTATGTGTGTACATATTTATGCGTGGGGTGTGATGTGTGTATGTACATGTGTTTGTAGGGCATGTGGTTTTTGTGCATGTATATGTGTGGGGGTGGGTTGTGTCTGCATGCCTAGGCACTGTTGGGCTGGGTCTGTAGTATAAGTCTGCCCTTTGCAGTGCCCCTCTGGAGGCCCCTGATCCTCCTGGGCTAGCAAGCAGACTTTCTTGGTAGAGTGGGAAGTTAGGCTTGAGTCAACAGCTGAAGAGGTGCATGACCTACTAGGGGTGGCTTGTGGTTTGCTCTAGAGACTGTCCACCTGTGGGCTGCGGGCACCATGGCTTCCTTCACTTGATCTGCTGACCTCCTTGATCCCCACACATCTACAGAGAGTTTGCCAAGGAACGTGAGAGAGTAGAGAACCGCCGTGCCTTCTTGAAGCTCCGGCGGCAGCAGCAGATCGAACGGGAACTCAACGGATACTTGGAGTGGATCTTCAAGGCTGGTGGGTGCCCAGGGGAGTGAGTCACTGTGCCCTGTCCGCCCTACTCTGCCCTGTCCCTGAGTTCCATCTTCATCTGGCCGGGAGGCTGAGGTCTCCCAGGGCTTTGCAGTGGCAGCCATGTCTCTTCAGCCCTGGGGTCCTGGCACAGCGTGATGGTGTCTTCTCAGATACTGGCCTTTCTGAGGGAGGGTCCTCGTCCTGCTTAGCCTGGAGCTCAGCTCCAGACCATGTGTTCTGGCCTCGACCTGAGATGAATTGTCAACAGTCAAGGTTACTAGGAGAGCATGAGTTAAGTCCATGTTGACCTCACTTAATGGGAGCTCCAGCACCTGCCCTTGGGGGCTCTAGCTCCTGCTCCTTGATTCTGGGCCAGAATCCTCCACCACCAGGCCATCTGGCCAGGCCCTGGTAAGACCTGCACACCCCTCCTTGCAGCACACCTCACCTCACACATCTCCCTGCCATGTCTTTGGGAGGCTGAACTGGAGCCTGTCTTGCTGGAGAAAGCTTGCCTAGGGCTCCTGATGGCTCCAGAAAACCAGGAGCTGGGCAGGGAGTGCTGCCCCTGGGTGGGGGCCCAAGGGCACCAAACAGGCAGAGAGATCCATATTGGGGTTCTGAGAAGGCCCTTTGGGGTGGAGGTAGGAAGGTTTGACTGAGGCAGGTCTCTCTGACAGAGGAGGTCATGCTGGCTGAGGAGGACAGGAACGCAGAGGAGAAGTCTCCTTTAGATGGTAAGTGGCTCTCTGGAATGGGGCTATGGTGGGCCTAGGGCAGAGCTAGCCCCACCACTGGGCCTGGTTTCCGCTTCTGGTAGATAATCTTTTCCCGGGGACCTAATTTTTGAGACTAGTTCCCTGTTCCTTCTGCTGTAGAGTCTGAGAAGTAGGACCTGTGAGGCCTAGGGGTGGGCCAGCCTTAGCCTCAGCTTAGTCTGCAAGTCCAGGACAGGGTGCTTCTTCCTGGGAAGTAGAAGCACATCCCAGTGCAGCCAGCTGCAGCCCCCTAGAGGCATCCGACACTGGCTCACTGGGTTGCCCTCCCCGTTAAAGCAGTGCTGAAGCGAGCGGCCACCAAGAAGAGCAGGAATGACCTGATCCATGCCGAGGAGGGCGAGGACCGCTTTGCTGACTTGGGCGCTGTTGGTGAGTCCATGGCCCCCTCCCTGATCTTGCTCCATGACCCTCCAAGGCCTTCTGACCCCTCGTGTTGCCTCCCCTCCTTGCTTTCCACTTGACACCGTCCCTTGAGCACATGGTGTCTGCTGCAGTGCAGGAGCTGTGCCCCTCCTGGGTTCCTGCACTCTGGCAGTTGATGCTTCTCTTGGTACATGATAGGTTTACCCAGTGGACAGCCTGCCATGTGTTTTCCACCAAAGGGAAATGCAGCCCAGCTCTCTATCAGCTGTGTGGGGCTGGCTCTGGGAAGAGTCGGCTTTCTTTATGGGGTACCGAGTCAGAACCCCTCTGTTGCCAGTTCTGCTTCCCATTCTCTTACAACAGACATGAGACAGACTCTAATGTAGCAGTGAGCAGGAACAGATGGAGATGGAGGTGGCCTTTTTGAGCTTCTGTCCCTCTCCACCCCATGATAACCCATGCTGATAGCCTAGGCTGTGCACTTTCTTATACAAGTACATGTGCACGCGCGCACACACATGTATGCCCACACATGCACACATACACAAAGCACATGCGTGCATGCACACACTCACACACATGCACACATCCACGCCTGCTCATATACCTGTGTGGGCCCACCTATGCACATGCACATTCATGCACACACGTATGCATTCACACACACTTGCACACACATGCATGCTGACACACACCCCTGCAGACACACGTCCACGCCTGCACATACAAACTCATGTGATTGGGCACACACACACATACATATACATGTACATACATGCATGCATGCACACATAAGTAGATAGAGTCTTTGGAGTCTTTTTCATTGTGCAGAAATGATTTTATCCAGATTTTTCTCATGGTTCCTGTGGATGCCCTTCTGGTCAGCCAGTCTGCACACACCTTGTGTGTCCATTGCTGGAGTCTATGAGTGAATGGGCCTACGTGATGTGCTGTTTCAGCACGTGTCCAGTCTATCTCAGGACTTTTCCACTGCACTAGCTCCAGATTCTGGCTTGGGGTGTTGGTGCTGTGGGCTGAGGTGTTGTGAGCACAGAGCAAGTGATGTTTGACTTTTTGAGAGTTGTCTCCATGTTGCTTTCAGGAGGGCATGGCCCTTTCCCCACTTGCCATGCCAGAGGACTCTTGCCCTTTTCTGGTCACTTGCTGGCTCTTTCTTGCTTCTGCTGGCTTGGTGCTAGTTTGATGAATACAGAGTGGTCTGTGTAGAGGTTCACTCCTTGCTAGGGGTCTTGAAATCATCCTCAAATGCATGTTTCCAGGTGGGTGGTCTTAGAGGCTCCTCAGGTCCAGTGTCCTAAGAGCTGTGCTGTCGCTTACCGAGACCCTGATGGGCACTACAGAGTCAAATTCTTGGCCATATCCTTAGGATTTTTCCTAGGCATATAATTGAAGTAGTTTCCTTCTTTTTTTTTTTTTATACAAGTACTTAATTTATTCTGCTCAGGAACATTGTCATTATCTATGGGATGTAGTATATATTTATGTTATATTTATATGTAGCCACTTAGGACTTAAATATTTTTTTTTAATTTAGGTTGTTTATTTTTCATTTCAATGAACATCTACA